ATCTTTTGTTATTATTTCGATATAAATCAGAATTCTATCTATACCACGTGTAAGCAAACAAATAAATCATTCGTTCGCTACATTAACCACATAGATGGTCACATGGTATTTTCTTCCATATATAACCATATAGTATTTTTTCCTTTTCGTTATTACAATTCGTTTTCTTCTGCTCTTTTGACTTATATCGAAATGTGTTATTTTTAAGTATTTTCTCAGGATGTATTTATTGTATTGCAGAGATGGGAATAATCGAAGAAATAACCACTGTTCATCGTATAAATAATTGCGTTTTCTTATGAAATCAACGAACTATTACTTATATGCTTTCAAACATCATGTTTTTCTTCAACCTTCGTTAGAACTGTAACATCACTTTGAATTTCTCTTTTATCGGTTCAATTCCTCTAACTATTTTGTAAAAGAACTACATTTGATGTTTCATATGTTCATTTCAGATATACATTGGATTTGAAAAAAATATGCGACAAAACATTTTAAGTGAAAAACAAATAACAAAAAAACACGTTTTGTTTCTGGTGAAATAGATTTTTAGTGTTTCAAAACGAACAACATTGAAAATCAAACATGAATAAAATGATAAAAAATAAGATTTTCAAAAGTTGAAAATACTTTCATTTTGTTAATTAATGAAATTGAAAAAGAATAACGATATCAAAATAAGTAAATATAAACCCCCCCCCCCATAATAAAAGACCCTCTCGTATTAAAAGACCCCCCCATAATAGAAGACCCCTTTGGAGCAAAAATCGAAAAAATCCCCCTACCCCTGTAGGGGGATTTTTCCACAAAAAAAGCGCGATGTGCGAAACATAATAGAAGACCAGGGGGTCTTTTATTATGGGGGGGGGGGGGGGGTTTACTAGATATAATCATATGTAAGAGTACAAACGAAAGTATCTTATATAGTCGAACACGCTATGGAAAGCCCTAGAAAAATAATAACAGTAAATATCTGCGATGACTGAAACAAATGATCATCTTTATAATGAAAATCAAAAACTTTAGGTAATAAAACTATTTCTCATTATATTAAACATAATAAAACATATTTAAAACAATAATTTATTATTTAAAATGAATTTCAACTATTATCATATGTATCTATATTGAAATACACTGAAACCTTTAACAATGAACTTATTCGGTTTGAACTGATTTTTCAATTCCATCGATCGATTTTGTTGTAAATAAGACCTTCACAAGATGAACACTTTTTGGATCTTTTCTCTGAAAATTCAGTAAAATACAATGCAATCCAATATTTATCATCAAATTTTTATAAAACATTTCTTTTCTCTTCAGCTTTAGACAATTTCATTATTTTCATCAAATAAAAAAATTCAACTAGAATTTAATTAAACATAAAATCTTCTTTTCAAAGAACTTTTATTTCAGTTCAATTCAAATTACAAAATATTCTGTTTTTTCTACTTTGAAATCAACAAGAATCAAAATGAGGGGAAAAAATTTAACATTTATTTATTCGAATTTTTTAATGAAAACTATCAAATTTAATTTCATTTTGAAAAGAAAAAAATCAAAAAGATTTCTTTTCAAATTTTAATCGATTTTTTCATTATCTTTGAGTAATAAAACTTTATTTTTGCTTTTATTTCGCAATTATTTATGCAATAAAAAAATTTCATTCACAAAGTTATTTCGAATTTTTGAATTCGATGATATCCCCATTCACCAACATAAAGATTTCCTTCATCATCGAAAGATAAGTCCATAGGACCATTCAATTGATTTTCTCCACCATTTCCACCAACGACAACTTCACCTTCTTCTTTTCCTTCACACCACCGTATTATTCGATGATTCTCACTATCTGCCACATAGATTTGACCCAAATCATCAACAATGATTCCTTCAGGACCAGACAATTGATTAAGATTTCCTCCTTGACCATTTCCTCCAGCCACAACTATTCCTTCTTTTGCATCTTTTTTCCATTTCATTACACGATGATTCGACTTATCTGTTATATAAACAGTTTGATCTTCATCAACAAAGATAAAACCTGGAAAATTGAGCTGATTGAGTCGATCTCCTTGTCCATGTCTACCTGCCACTATAACTCCTTCGTTGTTGTATTCACCCATTTTCCATCGTCTCACTTCATTTTTCTTATAATCAGAAACATAAAGAAATCCATGTTTATCCATTGCCAAACCATAACAATTAATATTGTCAATGAGAATTTGTTGATTTTAACTCAACTTTTGCACCACTCGTCTGTTATCACAATCAGCAATGATGATTGAGTGATTTTGTTGATCAACAATTATATCTGTTGGACAATTCAATTGATCCATTCGATTTCCTTCCTTATTTCCACCTGCAATGACTTGTCCTTGTTTTGCATTACATTTCCATTCAACAACACGATCATTATAGCAATCAGCGATGAAAATACTTTTCTTTTTATCAATAAAGATTCCAACAGGACTATTGAGTTGATTTAATTCTTCTCCTTCTTCATTTCCACCAGCTACGATTATGGGATTTTGTTTCCATTTATTGAATTTTGATTCTAGAAAATAATGAAAATAAAAGATTTTGATGAGAAGAAGAAAAAGAAAATTTTGTTTTTTATCAATTAAATCTTTTCTGAAATACTGAAGAAAAACTAATTTTTTAATTTCATATTATTTCATATTCCATCCTTCTTTTCTTTTACATACA